AGGAAGGTTGGGCAATCCTACTTCTGTAGTGATACTGCCTTGGAAACCCAAGGAGGGGTCGCTATAAGTCGGGTTTGACTCGACGGCACATAACAACAACAACAACAACTTTGTTCCTATTTTCAGTTGAATATCATCAAAAAAGGGCCATTTGGTTATCTTTTCAAAAGCATTTAGAAGCAAACAGCTGGCAAAAAAAAATGGTTATGTGGCATATACTTTTTTATTTTTATTTTATTTTTTTATTTTCTTTCTCTTCCTCAATTCCACCATGTTGATCACGCACATTCAGTACATTGCTCTTCCTGTCACCCAAATCAATACTTGTCTCTACCTCTCTAGCACTGATAACTGATAATGCAGCTGAGGTATAGCTAGTTTGTTGTTGTTGGGTGCTGTCTGGTTGATTTCAACTCCATGTGACACAGTAGAACTGCCTCGTGGGGTTTTCTTGGCCATAATCTTTACAGAAACACGTCAGCAGGTCATTCTCCCATGGAGTCCTTGAGTGTGTTTGAACCATCATCCTTTTATTTAGCAGCTGACCATGTAGCTGTTTGCACCACTAGCACTTCTATAGCTAGTAAACCAAACCAAACCAAACCCACTGCCATTAAGTTGATTCAGACTTACAGTGACCTCTTTGGGTTTCCAAGGCAGTGCATCTTTACAGAAGTGGAATGCCCCATCTTCTTTCCATGGAGCAGCTGGGGGGTTTGAACCACCAACTTTTGGTTAGCAGTCAAATGCCTTAGGCACTGTGCTACCAGAGCTCCTTTCTATAGCTAGTATAGGTCTTAAATTTGAAAGAAATCCATGAGCAGTGGTGATCCCTTGTTCAGAACCGGATACTGTTGTTCTGAGGTTGTTTTTGAGTAAAGTGATGTCCTCCACTGTAAGTGTTCCATAAATGTTCCCATGATCATGCAGCTCCCCTAAATCATAAAATCGATGTGTCTGTGTTGTGCTTTAGTGCCAGCGAGTGATGAAGAGGAGGGACCAGTTCTTTTTGACAACTCTGGCAAGGCGGCCGCTGATCCCTTCGACTCGTCTTCTGGCTCTGTGCAGCTCATTGCAATAAAGCCCACTGCCCTCCCTGTGGTACACCCAGCCTCAGACAGGAGCCAGGAGTCAGCAGTCCTCAACGGTGAGGTAAGAACCTGAGAACTCAGAGCGGAAGAGTCCAGCCAGGTCTCAGTGAGTGAGTACCTAGGAGCAACCTCAGAGTAGCTGAGCGGAGATTGCATCTGTCAGATAGACTTCTGCAGGCACCAGGCCTCAGCAGAATGAACAGAAGACACCCCAAAGGAGTTTGTTGGGGATGTTTTCAGAGTATTTTCTACCAGTGTTAGAAAGCCCAAGGAGAGCTTTAAAAACTAGAGCTGTGAAGAGAACATCAGAAGTTCTACACTGTCCACCCCTATACACAGCCTTTTGCCTTTCTTGATAACACTCCTATCTTAGGTACCTGTTTCTGCAATAACAAGAATGGGTGGCCATAAAGAACAGGAACTTATTTTCTCATCACTCTGGAAGCTAGAAATCCCAGCCCTGGTCTTGGCCCTGTCAGTTCCTTAGTTGTTGGTAGCCCTGAGTGTTCCTTAGTTCCTTGGCTTCTAGAAAATCCTCACATGGTGTCTCTTTGCCAGAGTGTGTGTGTCTGCATCCATTCTGCTCTTTTTGTAACTCAGCAGTGATTAGATTTAGAATTCCCCCTACTGGGTATGGTATAATTGGCATCAAAAAGAAAACCCCATTTCCTAGTGGGTATGGGAGAGGCTTGGATTGAGAGGAAGCCAGAGAAGATATTGTCGTATGGACAGGGACATAGCCTACGGTATAAGCTCTGAAAAAATGATTACTTCTTGGAACAAACTGTTTCCAGGATTTCATTGTGTATTGATGTTAAATGACCTTACCTAAGAGTCTGAATGGGAGCTCTAGTAGCGTAGTGCCTAAGGCACTTGACTGCTAACCAGAAGGCTGGTGGTTCAAACCCACCAGCCAACTCCTTGGAAGGAAGATGGGGCAATCTACTTCCGTAGTGATACTGCCTCGAAAACCCAAGGAGGGGTCGCTATGAGTTGGGTCCAACTCGATGGCACATAATGACAACAACAACAAGAGTCTGAAAAAAAATTATAGCATATGCCCGGGAATGACGATTCCAACAAAGAAAAACAGATATTAGATATATATAGAGAGATGGAGTATTAGCAGTTTAGAGGGAGAGCAAGTTGGGTAAAAATTATCTGCCATTCCTTCATCTTCTGCAGCAGAATGGTCAGTGGGCTGAAATGTTTATAAACCTTTAAGAAAGCATGTGTATGGAAGCTGATATGAGCATTTACATCACACATGTTCACATGTACATACACACTCACATACATGCTTTCCTATATTTTTCTTTTTTGTTAAGTTGGCAGGTTTGTTGTTTGTTTCGTTTGTATATACTTGCTATGATTACCTGCAAAAGGTGAGAGATTTCCAAAATTTTAAGGTCTTTTTCCCTGATACCTCAAGGAGCTGTGTACCTGGGCGTGTTATACTCACATCAGGGCCTTGCCCTCATTCCAGCATCCAGGCCACTTATAAAAGCATTTCACAAACCTGACTCAGGAGGTACCTCTTATTTCCTGGGCATAAAGACTGTGCTAGGTTAATTCCTTTGTGCCTTAGTTCTTCTCTCTGTAAAATGGGGCTGCTGTGAGAATTCAAATGAGTTCATCTATTTTAAGGACTTAGAACAATGCCTGTTGTTGTTGTTATGTGCTGTCAAGTCGGACCTGACTCATAGCGACCCCTCCTTGGGTTTCCGAGGCAGTATCACTATGGAAGTAGATTGCCCCATCTTCCTTCTGAGAAGTGGCTGGTGCGTTTGAACCTCCAGCCTTCTGGTTAACAGTCAAGTGCTGTAGGCACTACACTGCCAGAACAATGCCTAGCACACAATTAACACTACACATGTTCCTTATTATTATCATCACTCAGGCAGCCAGTGAGCCAGGACTTATTGACCAGCTACTTTATGAGCCACTTGGCTCTATAACCAGAGGGAAACTGGATATCTTCCCAGAGCCAGTCTAAGCCACTGAATCAATCTTTGGGCCCAGTTCTGCCACCAGACATGGAAGCCCAGCGATCAGAGGCTTCTGTGATTACACTGATGCACTGATAGCTGCTTGATCAGCACCTTCTGCCCAATTATGGGCCCAGGTAATAGCTGCCATGCCTGGATCTTATCATCCCACCTTAATGATGTGGATGCCATGGGGACAGATTCCAAATCTTGCTGTATTCAACTTAGCTCAAGCTCACTGCCGTTGAGTCAATTTGACTCACAGCCACCCCTCCTTGGGTTTCTGAGGAGGTATCTCTATGGAAGTAGATTGCTCGATCATCCTTCCAAGGAGTGGCTGGTAGATTTGAGCCAGCAGCCTTCTGGTTAGCAGTCAATTGCCTTAGGCACTATACCACCAGAGCTCCCTTTTTCTGCCAGGCCCATCACCCTTTCCCAGAAGAACAGATGAGCATACTCCTTGCCCAGAAATGGATACTTGCTGCATTTTGGTAGTTAAAGAGTAGACCTTGTTGGCATTTGGATTGAAAAAGAGCCCCAGTCTGTTCTCTGTAATTTGCTGTGTTGTAGAGCTTGAGGCTAATTGTCTTATAATTTTCTTTCTGCTTTCTGCTTTTCTCTTATGGGTACGTGGTTTAAAGTAAAGAAATCACAGCTCAGAAGCCATAAATTTATCTTTTGTGAATTACATGAAGTTCTTTTAAAAAGATGTTTTAAAGAAAATATAATAACAATATAAAATATAGCAGAAAGTTCAAAGTAACAGAGAACAAACACTATAATTTCACCCCCAGTTAACCACATCTGTTTTCATTTTTGCACATTCTCTTCAAGTCTTTGACCAAACTCATACATAGTTTAGAATCCTGCCCTATACAGCCAACTTTCTGTCTTGTAAGCCTCTGCTGTGTTGCTGTAGTATTTCTGGTTATAATTTTTAATTGATCTAGTTGAGAAGGAAAGGAGCCCTGGTGGCACAATGGTTAAGCACTCTGCAGCCAACCAGAAGGTTGGTGGTTCAAACTCACCCAGCGGCTCTTCAGGAGAAGGACCTGGAGATCTTCTCCTGTAGAGATTACAGCCCAGAAAAACCTTATGGGGCAGTTCTACTCTGTCATATGTGGTTTCTATGAGTTGGAATTGACTTGCGCCATCCAACAAGTTGAGAAAGTAGACCATTGATTGAAAAACCAATCTCCCATTGTTCAAATCTTTCAAGTTTTTATTCTATTTTTGGTTTTGGCTATAATAATGACCAAATCTTATAATATATATTAGTTACAATGAATAATTTTATGTCTGCCTTTTTTTCTTATGACTTTTTCAGCACCTTTTTATTTTGAAACCATTTTAGACTTACAGATAAGTTGCAGTGGTAGTATACAGTTCCTGTACATACTTTATCTTGCTTAACCCTAATGTTAACATCTTCCATAATCATAGAATAATTTCCAAATCCAGGAAATTAATGTTGGGACAATTCTAGTAACTAATCTACAGTCCTTATTTGAATTTTGCTGGGTTTTCTGTTAATGTCCTTTTCTGTTCCAGGGTCCAGTCCAGAATCGTACAATGCCATTCAGTTATTTTCTTAGTCTCCTCCAGTCTGAAACAGTTCTCTAGTTATTCTTTGTCTTTTGTGGCCATTATTGCTTTTTGAGTTATTGCCTACAATGTCCCTCAGTTTCAGTCTGTGTGATGTTTTCTCATTAGACTGAGGTTTGGCATTTTTGGCAGGATACCACAGGAGTGAGGTCGTACCCGTTTCAGTGCCTTGTATCAGGAACTACTCAATACTGACATGTCTGATTACTGCTGATGCTAACTTTCATGTCTGACTTTTAATCTCTTTTGGAATGTTACTCTAGGAGAGAATCCAGGATTCCTAGATCAGAGGATGGTGTGCTAACTTCTTCTCCTCACTAATTTTCTCAGTGGCATGCAGAATGAAGGCACAATGAAGTCTTGTGAAATTCTACGAGCCTGAAATTATTAAGGCCCAGGTTGGGGAGAACTTTGCAAAATTTAGAAGAAATATTTCCCCCAGTTTATGTTTCTTCAAGTGCTGTGAAAACAGAGTATCTAAGATGCACCCTTATGTTCATGAAGCTCATAGTATAGGTCAAAACATATCTTACACTGGTTGACTTCATTCTAGACTTGTTTAGAAGTATGGCACATCAGGATTGAGGTCTAGCATTGGAACTTGCATATTTAACCAAGTCCTGGTATCTGAGAGTTAATACTCAAAGATGGCATATAGATAGTTATAGGCTTGTAACTCCTACTAGTTGCATAGATGCTTGGCTGGACTTCCATAAAACACCACAGTCTCATTATAATTTCTTGGCTAAACACAGCTATTCCTGTACCTAATCCTCAGAAGTCTCCAAGTTTTTGTTGTTATAGCTACCTTCTTACTACTGTCTTACCCCCCTCTCTTTCCTCCATAAAATAAGAACTAGAAAGAATGAAATTTGAGTAACTCTTATGGGTGAGAAGAAAGAACAGGGACATTCTAAGACAGCATTTTGCAGTGTTCCTTCCTTTGTACGCCCTGCCTGCCCCTTCCCACTCTCTGTGGTCCCTCCAGGGTTCAGTCCAAAGCCTCCCCACCATTGCACTCTATCCAAGCCTGACCATCCTTCACACTTTATGCTTTGACATTACTCATTTATCTTTCTTTTCTCTATCAAGCCACCTATCCCTTAGTCTTAAATAGAAAGAACCCTACACAATCACATTAATAATAACAGCATTTTGAAGTCATTCTGAGTGCCTAGCTGCATTGTAAGCATGCCATGTGCATGAACTTATGCAATGCCTACAACAACCCTATGAGGTAGTTGGTATTATTATCTATCTCCCATTTACACTGAAAGAAACTCAGGCACAGGGAAGTTAAGTAACATACTCAAGGCAACACAAGTTGGAAAAGGTATAGCAAGGACTTAAACCTAGGTTGTCTGGTTCTAAGAAACCCTGGTGACAGAGTAGTTACGTGCTTGCTGCTAACCAGAACATCGACAATTCAAACCCACTGGTTTCTCTGTGGGAGAAAGATGTGGCAGTCAGCTTCAGTAAAGGTTTACAGCCTTGGAAACCATATAGAGAAGTTCTACTCTGTCCTATAGGGTCACTATGAGTTGGAAGGGATTTGATGGCAATGGGTATGGGGATCTTAACACCTTTAGCAATATTCTGTGCTGCTTTATCATCTCAGTTCGTGATAAAATATCATCCCCACAATTCATCATGTTAATGAATGAAAGCCAAATTATCCCCCCAAGAGTGTTTGCTTATTTAAAAACCAATTGCTGTAGATTTCCAACTCATGGTGAGCCCGTGTGTGTTACAGTAGTACTGTGCTCTGTAGGGTTGTCAATGACTGATTTTTCAAAAGTAGATCACTAGGTCCTTCTTGGAGCTCTGGTAGTGTAATGCCTAGGACACTTGACTGCTAGCCAGAACGCTGGTGGTTCAAACCCACCAGCCACTCTTTGGAAGGAATGTTGGGCAATCTACTTCCATAGTGATATGACCTCGGAAACCCAAGGACGGGTCGCTATGAGTCGGATCCGACTCAACGGCACATAACAACAACAACAAGGCCTTTCTTCTGAGGTGTCTCCAGGACTCAAACCTCGAACCTTTTGATTAGCAGCCAAGTACATTAACCATTGGCACCACCCAGAGTTTCCATTTGCTTATTAATCCAAGTAAAATTTGGTGACCATTTCATCAAAATTTGGGAATAAGTAAGGGAAATACTGACTTTAAAAGGAGATTCTTCCCCTGTGTTACTTGCAAGTGAGTTGGGTTCAAGAGGGTACCCTGCTCCCATACTCATCTGTGACAGTCAGAGAGCAGAATAGGGAGGCAGAGGGGCAAGGTTCCTCAGCAGAAGGGAGTACTCACCTGCCTTCATTTTTAAAGTGTTGAAATTCTAGGGGATTTATTTTAACAATCCAAATAGGAAAGACTGCACTTAAGAAAAAGAACTTAAAGTATTGTCAGCAGCACCTATAGTGAGTCAGGGATTCATCCTCTCAATAGGCCAGAAATCCAGCATTCCAGGCTGTGGAGGCTTGCTATTCGAGATCTCAGCCCTTGGTGTGGGCTAGTGAGAAAGTTCCACTGCCATGCTCCTGTTGTTGTTTTGTGCCATCGAGTCAGCCCCGACTCATAGTGACCCCTCCTTGGGTTTCCGACGTGATATCACTATGGTAGTAGCTTCTCCAATCACTGGCCTCAGAGGGACATTGTCACCACCACCACCCCCACCACCGCTTGTATTTTTCATATACCATTCTCAGACCCACAGTCCTCTTTTTCCTCCCAGAACTCATTTCTGACTAGCATGGACATCAGGCCCCAAGTTTGTGATTCCCTAGACCAGTGGACCTCATACCCTCTCTACCTCTAATCTTTCCTTTAAACAAGCTGTTTTGTGGAAGTCCATTGTGAAACATGGATCAGGGACAGGGGCTGCTGTGGTTGTTGGAGACCAGAGCCAGTGGCTCAGCCTCATCTTTTGCTACTCCCACACTTCCCTGGCTCCTGAGTTGTCTCCTAGAATCCTAGGGCAAGAGTTCTCAACCCAGGTCCCTGGAGTTGCTGAAGTTGTATGAAAAGTACTGTGAATTGGCTTATGAGGGGTAAGACCCCACAGGTCTTAATAAGAGTCTCTGAAGCAGTGACTTTAAAAAAAAAAAAAAAAATGTCCACAAATCCATAGGACATGGTTTGAAAACCAGCACTCCACACTAAAGGTGTTTCACTCAGGTGGTAGATCAGAATCAGCAACAGGGCTTTTCTGAAATACAGATACCTAGGCCTCATTCTTGAAGATTCTAATTCAATAGGTCCAGAATAGATCCCGGTCCTCTGTATTTTTGCCACCTCTGCACCTAGCTTAGGAGCTCTGGTGGCGTAGTGCCTAAGGCATTTCACTGCTAATCAGAAGGCTGGAGGTTCAAACCCACCAGCCACTCTTCAGAAGGAAGATTGGGTGGTCTACTTCCATAGAGATACCACCTCAGAAACCCAAGGAGGGGGTCACTATGAGTTGGGACTGACTCGATGACAGTGAGTTTGGTTTTCTTTGGTTCGGCACGTAGCTTGCAGTCCCAGAAAAGCCATCCTAGGCTTTACCTCTGCTCCTCTGAGTCAGCTAGACCAACCTGTGGCCCTTTCCAAGCCCAGCCCACAAGTCATGTGGAGCCTGGGACTTCCCTAACACACCTGAGATCTTTTATCCAGGCCTCCTTCTCCACAGTCTGCCCTAAGTCTGCTAAGGGCTAGACCAGGCTCCAAGATCTTAGCTTTGTGGCATTGGCCTTAACCTAGCCTATGCCCTTTTGGGTCCCTGCCTACACCTTTGTTTTTCCTGTTTGAGAACCTCAAAGTGTTGCCAGGGAACCACTGTCTTTGTCCTCCTCCAAACTGAAAGGCCCAACTCTAGGTAACCCCACGCCAACACCAGCCCCTCCCTAGATAGAACCTACCAGTCCAAGGGCTTTGACTTTGGACCATCCCCACTTCCTTGTGTTCTCATCCTAAGGGGAGTACACATTGTACATAGCTAGACTCAGGCTGCCCGGGGTTAAATCCTGCTTCCATCTTTGGTTATCTGTGAAACTTTGAGAAGTTTCCTTAATCTCCTCATCTGTAAAATGGAGGAATAATAGTGACTTGCCTTATAGGTTGTTGTGAAGATTGAGGTCATACACATAAAGCACATGGTGCCTGGCACATTGCTGTCCTCTATTAATCAGATAGCTGGGGTGCCCCGATTTTACAGTTTACTAGGTTGGCCTTTTGGGGCCACAGTTTCCTCACCTGTCAGGTGGAAGTAATGTCCACACTTACCAGATTTCTGATGATTGTCCCTTGAAATTGAAGCTGTGAAAATTCTCTCTACACTATATATAATTATACAAATACAGAGGCACGTCTGATTACAGAACACTGATGGTTCTCTACAAGGACCAGGCAGATTTTACCATGCAGCCCCATTTGTGGGTGTAATGTCCTCATAATTTGTTATTTATATAGTATAGTCATCTGCTTTTCTCTTTGACATGTCATAGGGTACATTTGCTATGTTCCTTTCTGAAAGACCAGACCAGGCCTTGCCCTGCTGAGCAGGACCTGATTGGGACTGGTCATGCAAGGTTTCAAAGTTACCTGTCTCTCAGGAAAGACATGGATCTACAAAGATAAACTCTCAAATACAGGTTGATAGTTTGAAGAGGCCTCCAGAGCAGGCTGTCCACTCTCCCTTCTTGCCTCATTCATCTCAATTCAACCTTTTCAGGAAGGTTGTCTTACCTACCTGAGTACCAGCAAAATAGCCAGGGAAGGCCACTGGGTTCCACAGAGCCGGGGCTAGAATAGGAGTGTCAAGACTAGTTGGGGTGGGAAGTCAAGGAAGAGGTTTTCAAACAGGAAAACCAAAAAGGTGTAGGCAGGGACCCAAAAGGGCATAGGCTAGGTTAAGGCCAATGCCACAAAGCTAAGATCTTGGAGCCAAGTCTAGCCCTTAGCAGAGTTAGGGCAGACTGTGGAGAAGGAGGCCTGGATAAAGATCTCAGGTGTGTTAGGGAAGTCCCAGGCTCCACATGACTTGTGGGCTGGGCTTGGAAAGGGCCACAGGTTGGTCTAGCTGACTCAGAGGAGCAGAGATAAAGCCTAGGATGGCTTTTCTGGGACTGCAGCCCTTGATGGCTGGGCACTGCTGGGCCAGGTGTGTGCCTGAGATTATCTCTCTCCGCAGGTGAACAAAGCTCTGAAGCAGAAGTCAGACATTGAGCACTACCGGAACAAGCTGCGCCTCAAAGCCAAGAGGAAGGGCTATTACGATTTCCCTCCGGTGGAGACGAACAAGGGTCTGACTGAAAGAAAAAAGATGTATGAAAAAGCCCAAAAGGAAATTGACCACATTTTGGAACCAGACCCAGAACTCTGTGCCCCATTCACTGAGTCTAAGAACAGGTGTGGTATCTAAGACATGCTTTAAATGTTTGCTGTGTTGCTGGTGGGAGGAGGGCAGGAGACGCCTTGGATAATGAATGAGACTGTGATCTGTTACCTTAGGACCATGATCCTTGCAAGATGCTCATCTGTGAAAGCAGATACTCCATAATGTGCCTGGGAGAGGGGGAAAAAAAAAAAAAAAAATGAAGCCATGAATGGAAAAAAAAAAAAAAAAAAATGCTTGGGCAAACAACCATTATTGTACTTTAGCTCAAAGATTTAAAAAAAAAAAACAAAAAAACCCACGATTAGTTATTTCGGGGCAGGGTGACGATATAATTATCACTTCCCCAGGGTTTTTGCAACTTCCAGATCAAGGGGCATTGTAGTTTTCAATTATTTCAGTGGCTCTTACATAAGGAAAGTAAATTTCATGCCTAGCTTTTCATTCAACCTCAGTAAGTACTCACCTCACAGCTACTCAGCGCTCCATGCTGTGCTCGTTTCTCTAATTTATAGATTTGTGCATTTACTCAGCATTAATTGTCACCTACTATGTATTAGACTCTGAACAAGATGCTGAATTCTGTTATGGCCATGTGTACTTTCTCTCATTCATTCATTTAATTCATGCAATATTTGTGGTGGACAAGACTGTCCAATCATTGCTCTTGTGGAGCTTAAGATCTGATGGAAGAGAAGGATAATCATCACCCCAAAGGTTTGTTAATCACAGGTGCAATGGATGTTTGATGGGAAAGGGTGAGCTTCTGTGACAGTTTAAGAGGGAGGCCTGTTCTTCAGAGTTAATCACAGACTTGCCATGTTGTTATTAGTTAAGGAGCTCTGGTGGTGTTGTAGTTAAGGTATTTGCCGCTAACCAAAAGGTCAGTGCTTTGAACCCACCAGCTGCTCTGCAGGAGAAAGATGAGGCCGTCTGCTTCTGTAGGGCTGCTGTGAGTTGGCATTAACTCAATGGCAGTGAGTTTGTTGTTGTTAGCTAGCTGCCATCGAGTTGGTTTCTATTCACAGTGACCCCATGTGGCAGAGTAGAACTGTGCTCCATAAAGATTTCAAGGCTGTGACTTTCAGGAGCAGATCATCAAGCTTGTCTTCTGAGGATCCCTTGGGTGTGTTCAAACTGCCAGTCTTCAGGCTGGTAGTCAAATGCTTAACCATTTGCATCACCCAGGGACTCCCAGAAAATTACCATATGACGCAACAATTCCACTCCTAGGTATACACCAAAAACATTTGAAAGCAGGGACTCAAACACTTATGTACCAATGTTCATTGCAGCATTATTCGCAATAGCCAAAAGATGAAAATAACTTAAATGTCTATTAACAGATGAGTGGATAGACAAATTGTAGTATGTCCCCACAGTGAAATATTGTTCAGCCGTAAAGAGAACTGAAGGTCTGGTGCATGCTATAACATAAATAAACCTCAAAAACATGGAGAGTGACATAAGTTGAACAGAAAAGTATAAAAATCATATGATCTCACTTATATGAAATATCTGGAGTAGGCAAATGCATAGAGACAAAAGTTTATTAGTGGTTACCAGGGGCTGAAAGGAGAAAGAAATGGGGAGTTATTACTGAAGGGACACGAAGTTTCTGTTTGGGGTGATGAAAAACATTTGGAAATAGTGATGAAGGTTACACACCATGGGCATGTAATTAGTGCCACTGAATTATACACTTAAAAATGGTTAAAATGGCAGATATTTTGTTACATATATTTTATCACAATACATTTTTTTTTTTTTTTTTCAGAGGCAGGGAGTAATACGGGCTGGTCTAATGAGGGTTAGCCCAGGTGGTTAAATTGCAAACCTTCCAACCTCTGTTGCTAACTAAGCAGGAGGAGGCCTCAGTACCTCCTTGGTGAAGGGGGATAGGTTACAAAGCTAAACATGCCCACCTTTCTCTCTTTCCTCCCCACCCTAAAGCACTTCCTCAGAAGCATTCTAATGGTTTGAGACCACCTCTTTCCTCCATGACAACCTCTTAACATTGAGCAGTGCTAATACTCCAGCCTGGCCCACAGCCTTGGCAGATGCATCCTACACAAACTCAGGGGAGTAGGGAATTCCTGTGCATTTAGTGAAACCAGAAATGGCCATTGACAAGTTTGCATAGACAGAACGATATCAGTCTAGGAGACAGTGGTGTCATTTGTGTGTGTGGTGGGGGTGGAGGGATAGACTACACCCTTGACACTATCAGAAGAGGTGACATGAAAATGACCCCAGAGCTGGGCTGGTGCTGCAGGGGGAGGGGCCACCACGGCAGTGGTGTCACTAGGGTAACCCAGTACATAACTTGTCACTATCACCACCGCCATCTCCCCCCATCACCTGCTAGTCAGAGCACGGCCAGTTGGGCCATAGAGCCCACCATTGGGCAGAGAGGAGGCCCACCTTGGCCAGTGGGGGAGGGGAGAAGCTGTGGGGAGCTGTGGTGGGCAGACCAGGAGGGGTGGGCCATGCATTGAGGCACTCAACCTTATGTTGAGGGAGGCCAGGGCCAGGCTGCTCTACTCAAGGAGAGGGGTTCTGCAGCCGGCTCATGATGGGAAATGACACCAACCCTAGTGATACCCTCTTGGGTGGTAAGACTAAATTTTATTAGTTCATTCAACATGACTTTATTTTCAACAAAGAAAGGAGAGCAGTCTAAACCAGTGCTCAATTCACTATGCTTCTAATTAGGCTTGGTTGACATGACAAGCCATTGATATAAAATTGCACTGTGACAGGGTTCATAATGCATGTGTCAACATGTTAATAACTATAGTTTTTTAAAAAAAAAAAAAGCTGGGGATTTCACTGGGAAGCTGGTGGCTTCTTTAGCTTTTACTTTACACTATGGGGCTCTTTACTTCATTGGTAAACTGGAGTGAGGAGTTGTTTTCTATGGGTTTCCTGCTGAAAACAAGCTAGAGATCATGTACAAATAGAAGAAACTAAGTTTGGAAGCTATTTGAGAAATAAAATCATTTGAGCTAAGACTTTCATAAGAATGAAGAACAAAACTCTTTTTAGTAGTGTTAGTCCATTGCCTAGCATAGGGGTCAGCCAACTTCCTAAGGCCCTTTTTATTGCCATAGGATTTTCATTGGCTGATTTTTAGATCATCAGGAATTTCTTCCCAGTCCATCTTAGTCTGGATGCCCAGCTGAGACCCGTTCAACATCATAGCAACACACTGACAGGTTGGTGGTGGCCACACATGAGGAATATGGGCTGGCACCTGAACCTGAGTCGTCTCCCACATGCAAGTTGAGGATTTCACCATGGAACCACCAATGTCCCCCTACTTCTCAGTAAATGTCTGTTGAAAAAATAACTTAATGGCTATAAAACACCAAAAGCAACTTAATATTTTTTTAACCAGTTAAGGGGAGAAGAAAGACAGGCACAATCAGAGTGAGGTGAAGTAGGATCAGCAAGAGAGGGGACAGGGAAGGACTGACAGAGGGAAAGAGAATGGCAGAAATGCAGTGACCTCAGAAATGAGTTTGTTAGTACACCCTCCTATTTACTCCAGAGATTGCCTTCAGTTGGTTACCTGTTATCACAGGTTAGAGTTACCTGTTGATTGCTGCTCACAGTTCACATTTCCAGAGATTCGTCTCTGAATGACCTACCCACAACAAGGCCAAGTGAGCAAATTATTGTCTTGTCTAGAGGGCATATCAGGAATCAGAATTTTACCCTTCGAGCCAAATTAAATCAAATCAAAGACAGAGTTCAGATCTCAAAATTCAACTTATCACTGAACCTTTTAAAATAGTTTTCATAACTGTTATTGTTTAAAATCAGAAGAACACTCCCATTTTTATGCTGTAAACTCTTGCCCAGAGACACAAGGTACGTGACATAAGTGAGGCAGACACTGTCAGTGGCCCCCCTATGTCCCCTTGGCTGTCATTCTTCCTGAAAGGCTAGCAGCCTCCTACTCAATAAAGACACCTGCAACTATGAATTGAAGACTTTTTCTGGCAGCCATCAACTGGAAGTACCAGGAGCTAAAACATATTCTGCTCTGGAACACCCTAATCAATGACAGGTGGGAACTAGTGGATAAATACCCTGGTAGAGCTCTGGTGGTATAAGGGATAAGGCATTTGGTTGCTACCTGGAAGGTCAGCGGTTCAAACCCACCAGCCACTCTGCAGAAGGAAGATGGGATGATCTATTGCTGTAAAGATTTACAGCTTTGGAAAATGGGGATTTTCCAATGGGGATCGCTGTGAGTCAGAGTCAACTTGATGGCAATGGGTCTGGGGTTTTGTTTTGTTTTTTTCTTTAATTTTCAGTTTTAGAGGAACTCTGAGCTGTGAGCTAGACTGTCTCCCAGGCTTCCATACTGAGTTTGAACTGTAATTGCTAAAACACTAATCAGCTCCATGTTATACCCTTTGCTGGCTTCCTTCCCCCTCTGAATTGGGGCTGCTGTAACAAAGTACTACAACTGGGTGGCTTTAAACAACATAAATTTAATGCTTCACAGAATTAAGAGCAAGGGCAGAGTGGGTAGAAAGAATACCCAATGGAAGTTCTCAGATGACACGGGGGACAGTTCAAATTCAGAGTGTCAGCAGAACTATGATCTCTCTGAAGGCTTTGGGAGATGATCCTTTCCATTTCTCATAGCTCTGTTAGCCCCAGGGATTTCTTTTCTTTTTTTTTTTTTTTTTTTCTGCTTGCAGCTGCAGCATAACTCTGTTGTCACATGGCTGTCTTCCCTCTGTCTATCCCTCTACATCTCTTTTATAAGGATGTCACTAAAGTTAGATTAGGACCCTTCCACCCACTCCAGTATGACCTCATGTTAATTGATAACATCTTCAAAGCCTCTGTTTCCGAACAAGGTCATGTTCACAGATACAAGGGTTAGGACTTCAACATAGCTTTTGAGGTGACACAATTCAGTCCCCAATACTTTCCCTTTCTCATTCCCCCACTTCCCAACTGGTGCTTCCAGGCATCCCCTCCCAAATAAACCACTCGCATTCAAATCATCACAGGGCCTGCTTCGGGGGGAAGCCAACCCCCCAATGATAACATAAAATAAAAACAGAGTTGCTCTGATGGAAGTACTGCCTCCTCTCATCCTTCTCAGCGGCTCCAGGGTATCTTTATGGAACCCAGAGTTCCATAGAATACAGTTTGAAAACTACTTTCTTAAACTAATTTTTTTTCGGTTGCTATTGAGTCAGTTCCAACTTCTATGGAGACAACATGTGTGCAGAAGTGGAGCTGTGCTCCATCGGGTTCTCGGTGGCTGATTTTTCAGAAGTTCACCAGGGTTACCTTCTGAGGTACCTCTGTGTAGAGCCGAACCTCCAGCCTCCAGGTTAACAGCCAAGGCTGTTAACCCTTTGCACCAAGGGACTCCTCTTAAACTATGATGGGATTTTAAAAAAAGAAACCTGAAACCCAAGTAAAGTTCATCATCATCCAACCAGCAAGATTTTCAGAAGTAAAAACACATCTCAAGTTTGCATGTTTCGAACTTCTTAAAAATAAAATATGGAACACTTCACAAAATCGCATGTCATCCTTGCTAATCTTCTCTGTATCATTCCAATTTTGATATATGTGTGGCTAAATGAGGACCAGAAGTTTCAAACTTTATTAATTTTTTACGATATAGAAAAGTACCAACAAGAAATGAATAACACCTAATAGAATTCTATTTGATTAAAATAAGCTAATTTTTCTTCCAGAAAGCCTAATGTCTAAGTAGATGCTCACACACCGGGCACACAGTGGGGATCTGCTCAACTGAGATCCATGTTAAACAGCAGTCTTTAAGCTGCATGTTGTATGGAATGTTGTCTCTGAGGAAAAACAGGCTGGTGCACACTCCAGTGTCTCAGCTTTCCCCCACATTCATGGTCCTTCAAAGGGCATCCACAATCTCATTGTCGTATTTCTAATACTTACCAAATAACCTATTTAAATATCAACTGCTAATCCTAGTATTTACTTCCCCCCACCCTTATTAGTAAATCTCTAAATGGGCTAATTGACAACCTCAAAACAGTTAGGAAGTCTGCTTTTTCCAAAAATGACTTATAATTAGGTCAAGGATGAGAATTCTTTGGGGTCTGCCTTAAAGTGATTCCCTCAGAACAGATTCTATTTCACAAGCTTCCTAAGGTTGTGTGCCCTTCCTAAAGGAAGCCTCTGAATGCAGGTAACTATCAGGCATAGTCTGTAACATTAGGTTATAAGCTCCTGCATTTGTCAGGAGTCTTTTGGCTGCAAATGATGGAAATCTAGCACAAACTGGTTAAATAAAAGGGGAATTTCTTGTTGAACATGATTGAGAGGTCAAGACTATAGGCACACCTGGACCCAGGGGTTAGACAGTGTCTCCCGTTTTTGATGTTGGTCTTTCTTCATTCTTTGCTGGCCCCATATTCAGGCAGGTGCTTACTTCATGGTGGCAAACCGTCTACCGACAACTCCAGGTTTATCTTCTACTTAGAAAAATTCCACACCAAGAGGACAACTCTTTCCTAGTTGCCTTAGCAAAAGCCTGCAGACTGAGTCTCATTGGACCAACCTGAATCATGTGCCCAGCCCCTGATTAATCACTGTGGCCATGGGGATGTGATGCTGTGATAGGTCCAACTTAAGTCACCTGCCTACCTGTGGAGGATGGGTAGCCCCCAAGGAACATCGGGATGTTCTTACCAAAAGAAGCTTATCATAGGTGCTAGACAAGCAAAGACCACAGATGTTCTTTAAGTAGGCCTAAGTTCCTTATGGTGAGGGAATACAATAGATCAATCATTTCTGTTTTATTCTTAAGGCTAATTGCAAGGATAGTCCTTTGCTTGTTGTTGTTGTTGTTGTTTGCCGTCGAGTCGGCCCCGACTCATAGCGACCCCTCCTTGGGTTTCCGAGGCAGTATCACTACGGAAGTAGGATTGCCCAACCTTCCTTCCAAGGAGTGGCTGGTGGGTTTGAACCGCCAGCCTTCTGGTGAGCAGTCAAGTGCCTTAGGCACTATGCTACCAGAGCTCCGTCCTTTGCTTAGGGAGTTCTTATATCTGTTCTTGATGCTGTGACTAACTTGTGTAATTATGAAAAAGGTATCTGAAAAATAATGGCTTCTGGGAAAATAATGATTCAACATCTTCAACTCATGAACAGTTGGAATCTTAGAACCGAGATATAAAATTGATGATGTCTGAGGTGTTCTCTGAAGATAGATGCTCTGAAAATGTAAGTTGTTTATTTATAGAGGGAACTTGTTGGATGAGAGGCAAGTAACTAGTGATTTTATGCCAGCTTAGTCACTCTGGAGGATAATGTGAAAGTCACCTGTCCCCATTGCCTCACTCCTCACTGATGAAAACACAGACAGCATTACCTGCTGCTTATTGTAGAAGAAGAAAAGAATAGCCACAGCCTTCACTATATGGTGTTTCTTTCCCGGTTCTCTAAAGGATCCCTTTAATAACAAGTAAGGAGTCCCTGATGGGGCAAAAGGTTACCATGCTTGGCTGCTAACTGGGAGGTTGAAGGTTTGACTCTACCCACAGGCACCTTGGTAGAAAGAGCTGGCACTCTCCTTCCACAAAATGAGCCACTGAGAATCCTGTAGAGCACAGTTCTACTCGGACACACAAGGAGTCACCACAAGTTGGAACTGCCTCCACCGTAACTGATTTTAATGACAAATGAAAACAAGACAATGGTGACTAATACATGAATTTACTAGGGGTAGCTGAGTGGAGCCTCTGAACATACCACTCCCTGAAACTGAATGAATCGACACATGGCTGGCCCCACTTGGTCTTGATTTAAACATTACCTCCTCAGAAAAACTTACCCCGACCACACTTTGTACAGTGCTTCCTCATCCTAATCACTCTCTGTCAAGCACATCTCCTGAGGGTTGGTTTTTTTTTTTTTTTTCTTTTTTTAAATGTGTAAAATATACACCACAAAATTTGCCCTTTTCACATGTACAATCCAATAGTTTAGTCACACCCACCATGCTGTGCAACCATCACCACTGTTTATTTCCAAAACTTCTTCATCATCCCAAAGAAAAACTCTGTACCCCTTAAGTAATAACTCCCCATCATCCCCTCCCCCTCATGGGAACCAGTCATCTACTTTCTGTCTCTACACATTTGTCTGTTCAAGATAGTTCATATCAATGAGATCATGCAGGATGTGTCCTTTTGTATCTGGCTCATTTCTCTTAGCATGATGTTTTCAAGGTTCATCTATGTCATAGCATGTGTCAGAACTTCATTTCTCTTTATGGCTAAATAATATTGCATTGTTTGTACATACCATATTTTGTTTATCTCTTCACCTTTTGATGGGCTTGGGTGATTTCCACCTTTTGCTTATTGTGAATAATGCTGCAATGAATATTGGTGTACAAGTGTCTGTTTGAACCTCTGCTTTCATGTCTTTTGAGTATTTTTCTGGGCCATATGGTAATTTTATGTTTAATTTTTTGAAGAAGCACCAAACCATTTTCCACAGTGGCTGATCCATTTTACATTTTGTCCAGTAATGGCCAAACTTCCAGGTTCTCCACATCCTTGCCAACACTTGTTATTTTCTATGCTTTCTTCTTTAATAATAGCCATCCTAGAGAGTGTGAGGGAGCTCTGGTAGCATAGTGCCTAAAGCACTTGACTGCTAACCAGAAGGCTGGCAGTTCAAACCCACCAGCCACTCCTTGGAAGGAAGGTTGGGCAATCTACTTCCAAAGTGATACCGCTTCGGAAACCCAAGGAGGCGTCGCTATGAGTCAGGGCCGACTCAATGGCACATAACAAGAAAACAGAGAGTGTGAAATGGAATCTCATAGTCTTGATTTGCATTGCCCTAATGGTGTAGTGCCTAAAGCATTTGACTGCTAACCAGAAGGCTGGCAGTTCAAACCCACCAGCCACTTCTTGAAAGGAAGATTGGGCAATCTACTTCCATAGAGATACTACCTCAGAAACCCACAGAGGGGTCACTATGAGTTGAATCTACTCAATGGCAGTGAGTTTTCTTTCTTTCTTCTTCTTCATTTTTTTTTTTTTTAATGACATATTTATGTTGAGCATCCTTTCATGTTCTTATTGGTTATTTATACATCTCCTTTGGAGGAATGTCTGTTTTATCCATTTTTCGACTGCCTTGTCTTAATAGCACTTACCACTCTGAAATTATAGTGTTATTGTCTTCCTTCATTAGAATGTAAGCTGCGGGAGGGCAGAGGCCATTGCTGCTTGTTCAGTTGTGGATCCTCTCTATCTTACACAGTGCTTGGCATGTAGTAGGCACTCAGTAAATGTTAGAGGAAGGAGAAAATAGAGGGATGGAGGGAGGGAGAGAGAAAGGGTGGAGCTCACATGCTTTATGGATCCTTAGCTCAGAAGGGAAGCTTCTGTGATGAGGTAGAAAAGAAAGTCCATCAACAGTCAAATTATTAAGCAGCCCCCTTAACTGCAGGGTTTATTAATGCATCATAGAACCCTGCATATGAAGTCAGAAGAATTAAAAGGAACAGGAGGCTGCTGAGCCAACAAAGGCAAGTTTATTCTTCCAGTGTTAGCAGTTCTCGAGGGTCAGGGGAAAAACCCCTGGCCTTTTCATCAGCAGAATTTTAGATTAGGTGGCATTGTTGCAATTGATTGTAATTACCTAGTTTCCATATGAAGAAGCATTTACAGTGCAGGTGAATGGTTACAGCATCTGGGGGTAGAGGGGAGCAAAATCTTTGTTCTACTCTTTTTATAGCCCCTTATGGCTGGGGAACAAATAGCATCAATTCTGAGACTTGTGAGGCAAACCCAACCCCTTCATTGGTTGTCTGTATCTGGATCAGGAGAATCCCATCCGTCAGGGCATTTGCTGCATCATAACAGCTGTTGAATTTTCTTCAGGCAACAGATGAAGAACTCTGTCTACCGAAGCCGGCAGTCTCTGAACAGCCCGAGCCCAGGGGAAACCGAGATGGACCTTCTGGTGACGCGGGAGCGACCCCGGCGTGGAATCCGCAATAGTGGATATGACGTAAGTCTTTGTGGTAGACTGAGGTGGATACAAGCTTTGTTTACTTCTTAAAGTAAAAAGAATATGCCATTCCATAATGTTTGTTTCCTTCATATCTGTGAGATTTGTAAATGCATTAAAATATTTTCTATTTCATTATTGTTTATCACCTTATGTATAAGGAGTTCTAGTGGTGTAGTGGTTAAGGCATTTGGCTGCTAACCAAAAGGTTGGTAGTTAGAACCCACCAGCCACTCTGCAGACAAAAGCTGATATAGTCTGCTTCTGTAAAGACTTACAGCCTTGGAAACCCAATGAGGGTCACTACAAGTCAGAATCAACCTGATGGCAGTGAGTTTGGAGTTTTTTGATATTTGCAAAGTAAGGAGCCCTGGTGGTATAGTGGTTAAAGCACTTGGCTGCTAACCAAAAAGTTGGTGGTTGAAACCCACCAGCCACTCCATGGGAGAAATATGTGGCACAGTGCTTCTGTAAGCATTTACAGCCTGTTCTACTTGTCCTGTAGGGTCGCTGTGAGTCAAAATTGACTCCACGGGAATGGGTTTGGGAATTTGCAAAGTAAGACTGCCTGGAATGTGTTAAAGTAACAAATGACTGTTAAAGGGGTCTTTATTTCTAAATTCTACTATTTTATGAATAGTACATTGTACATTGTTGACTTTAACCTCAACAAAGATTCTAAATATCCTTAATTTCTTCCCCTCTGTCCTTTGGAAACTCAGTAGGAAGCATGGTCATGGGTTAGAATTTATTTGAGCACTGGCTTCTTTTAATGCTTAGCACTGTTGAGAGGTTGGATTTGTTCCTGATTTCATAACTCCTCAATATGCCATGGGAACAATGAGATGTCCATGGAACAATTTGGTGATTTCACATGACAAAGCACATGGTTATGTTCAGAAATGTCTCCAAACTGCACAAATTCTTCGACTCCCACCAAATGTCCCCAGATGATGAGTTAGAATGTGGTGCCTCCCATAGAGTTGTATACATGACACATAGCCACACTTGCGCTCATGTGAATGATACTGTGCTCAGATGTCCAATAATGCTTCACCCTGCCCCAAAATTCCAAACAATCTTGAATATACTCTTACGTTTTGTGAAAAATGTTTCTTTCCCATTCCCATAAAAACATTCCTCTTATTACAGATGAAAAATTTTCTGTAGCAAGAATTATAATTCAAATATAGCTGGATAAAATTTGTTGTAATTTGAAAATGAACTTTGATTCCTTAAATACGTCATGCTTATTTGAAGCCAAGAATATTTTTTTCTCCTCCTTAGGATTGGTCTGTTTGCCACAAAAGCTCAAAATAGGATTTTTAATACTTCAATTAAAAAAGAGATATCCTACTTAATGTGAATTTTTAATTACCTTACCTTTGAATTTGATGTTTGCATTGATGACAATACCCTTGTCTTTTCTCTTTTTCCTTTTCATAGAAAACAGTTTAATTGTTTAATTTATAGGATTCCAGATGATTGGACAGACTTTTTTTTCCCCCTGAGTTGAATTATTCAATGTTAATTTTTATTATAAAAATATTTCTTATACCAAACTCAATTATTAATTTGATAATCAGCCTGTGATTAAAAATTGGCATTTGGAGTTGCTGACCTACCTCTCCCTACCAACAGTGAACATTCTTCCCGTGTGAGATGCTTGGCTAGTTTGAGGGAATTTTTCCTCTGCTCACGTACCTGAAATATGATAAGATTCTTAATTTATTTCAAGATTGGTATTAATAAATTTTTTGTGAGATTCTAGGCACAGACACTTTTACAGTTATGAGGAAAAATATAAGCAGTTTCCCTATTAGTCGTAAAAAGAGAAAACTGCAGATATTTTTTTGAACCACAGTGACATAACTTGCATTTCTCACTTAATACCTTTGGAATGTCATGTTTGTAAATTATTGTCTTAGTTTCCTAGGTCTACCATAACAAAATACCACAAAGTGGGTGGCTTTAAAGAGCAGAAATTTATTTTCTCATATTTCTAGAAGTTAGAAGTGCAAATCAGGGTATCGGCCATGTTAAATCCTTCTGAGGGCAGTTGGAGAGAAACTATTTCATGCCTCTCTCCTAGCTTCTAGTTTCTTGGTATATCTTCACAGGCATCTTCCCTCCTGTGTATGACTATCTCTGGGTCTGTACTCCTCTTTTATAAGATACCACTCAGAAGAGATTAGAACTAGGACCTACCCTACTTCAGTGTGACTTAACTGATAATGTATTTAAAAAAAAAAAAAAAAAATTGCCCAAGCAAACTCTCATTCACAGGTACATGGATTCAATCTATAACACAGGTACATTCAATTCAATCTACAACAATTACCTAGAGCAATAGAACAATAAATGAAGGTTGGTAATCCCTCATAAATATGTATAAACATTCCAATTACAGAATATATGGGGGAGGTCTACTTCATTCTAAAAGATACACATTTTTTAAAAAATACTTGTTTCTCTTGAAGCAGATATAGTCTCAAAAACATCAACAAATATAGGCTACTTTGAGAGAAAATAATCATCCAGGGGACAGTTTTAAGAATTTAGACTGACTGTAAAAATGAAATTGTTTACCTTAACTCCTCATTTGCTTTTTATTCTAATCATATGTAAAGTAGCTAACAGCTACTGACTGCTCCCAATAAACCAGGCCCTATTCCTGTCTTTCTGTGTGTATTATCTAATTGAATTTGCAGTGTTTTGGTTATTTCATGCCGCTCTGACGGGAATATACCAAAAATGAGATGGCTTTAACAAACAGCAGTTTATTCTCTTATGGTTTTAGAGTCTAGAAGTCTGAGTCCGAACTGCCAGACTCTAGGGGCTAGATGAAAGCCCCTCGACCTTGGGCTTCAGAAGCATTTTGTCACTCAGGCAGCTGCTGGTTTCTGAGGCTGACAAACCCAAGGTCCACAAGTGAAAAGGCACAGTCCCTATGTTACCAACCACATGGCAGGCCATTGATTCAAGTCCATTAAAAGTCCCAAGATTGGCCAAGCATGGCAGGCTGCTGAATTAAAACTCAGCTACATGCAGGGCCCAAGCATTCCAAAATACTATGTTGTTGTTGTTGTTATGTGCCGTCGAGTCGGCCCCGACTCATAGCGACCCCTCCTTGGGTTTCCGAGGCAGTATCACTACGGAAGTAGGATTGCCCAACCTTCCTTCCGAGGAGTGGCTGGTGGGTACTATAGACTATTCCCAAAACTTATCCTTATATACAGGAAGCAGACCACATCCCTAAAGTAGCTACTCAGCCACTCACGGCAGATTTCACCATGGAGTTGATTGCCAGTCTCATCGTGGGGAATAACTACAACCGGTGGCTGCCCAACCACTCAAAACCAGGCCCAGCCAAGTGATATTATAATCTTAATGACCACACACAATTACCAGTCAGGTAGGTACTATTATTATTGCCATTGTACAGATGAAGAAACTAAGGCACAGAACAGTTATATAATTTGTCCTCCCAGCTCCAAAACCATCTCCATAGCCACTATGCAATGAAGCCTTCCATGTGCATCTCCTGCACTTTATGTCTGTCCTCATATAACATATGTCCTATATTTCTGTACCTCTGGAAGAGGTTAGATGTTGTGTCATACACAGATTCTTACATGGGTAACACACATGGAAAAAACGAACAGCAGGTGAAGTGGAAAAAGAGAAGAGTCATAGTTCTAAATGATGCATTCATTTCCTGACGTATTCACTTTCCAAAAATACCAAGGCAGTCCTGGCAGTGGAATCTATCAGCCCAGCAGCTAATAGGTAATTCAGTTGGAAACACGTTATTCTTCTTACTGGGTCTGACAATCTTGATGCCAGGCCTAAATACTCAGTCATTTCTGCCAGGTTAATGAACAAGCCAGGAAGACCTATGCCTTGATACAGTAGAAACAAAGAGATTAGAAGATGGACTTACTTTGAATTTTTCAAACATTGGCGGGAAGGAAAAACCTATGTGTAAAGAAATAAATTAATTAACAATCAAACAAATATACAAATACACACACATACTACACCAGAACTGAATGGCAGCCTGATTTTTTTTTTCAAAAAATTTCCATATTAGGCAAAAAAAAAAAAAAAAAGAAGGTGGGGACCAGGTTTGCTGGTCCAATGGAGCCTGGTGTAACCACTGAGACTATGGCCCCTAGCTGCCCTTCAGGTCTGGAATTGAACCTACAACTGTGGTTTCCAGCCAAACAAAGTACAGGCATGTGAGTTAAACATTTACCTCAAGTAGACACACGCCCCGGAGAGAACAATCATGGGAGAAGGAAGGGTTGCTTATGCACAGGGAGATAGCTCAGGGTGCAGAAGAGTATGAAGGGATGGACACTGGGAGGAGGTAACTATGGGGAGGAAGTGGGAGGGGAGCTGCTGCATTGTAAATTTTGGTCAATGACATGAGACAAAGTATATGTGAACTGCTGTATGAAAAGTGAATTTACTCTGTAAATCTTCACCCAAATCCTGAAAAAAAAAAAAAAAAAAAAATTCCATATTGCTAATGGGCCTGCAGAGAGACTCTTGGCTCCAAAGGGTTTTGGAATCACTGTGTTTCACAGCAACAATTCTCAACCTCTTGGCCACCCAAAGGGATGCAGCACACTCCCGGGTAACTGAGGCTCCCTTGGGTAGTAATTTTAAAGAAGAAAGCACATCCTTTAGAAGGATAAATGAAAAAATGCCCAGAACTAACCACTCCTAAAAGGCTAGATGATATCATTAACTAACTTCGGCTTTGAAATTCATTCCTCCTTGTGCATAAAGCCAACCAGTTACCATTGAGTCAACTCCAACTCATGGCAACCTCATGTGTGTCAAAGGGGATAGAAAAGATGTCAACCTAATCTTTAAAAGCAAAAATGCCTGTATTTCAGAGCATTTTTAACTCTTATTTTTCAAACATATGGTCTTTTATGCTGGGAATGACAAACTGAAGAGGAGTGGTGTCATAGTTGATAGTTTGTGAA